CACCCCCCTTCTACTGCTTGTGTTATTCAAAACCATTGTCTCGAATCCATAAGTGCAATCTACAGTATTGGTCTCTAGACCTGAGATCACACATTTGGCTCTATCAAAATACTTTCCAGTTCAACTTGCCAAGCAATTTAACAGTTAGTGATCTCTTTCTATCAAATTTGGACATTTATTAGGAGCAATGTATTCTTCGCAAGAGCTAAAGCCAATGACCAAGAACCTCCTGCCATGTGGCAATGGGGGAGCCTTCCTTAAAGTTTGTAAGTTCCCTCCTTACTGACAGGTTTTTGGATTCATTAACCAATTTTAATACAGTTAACATGAGTTACGACAAATATACTTAGGCAAAACCAATCTGATTAAGGCAGTATCATTAGGATCAGTTTCAAGTGAATCACTCTACAATTAACCTCTGTCTTGATTAGATTTTTTTCCACATACTGGCAAACATCTAATTTTTCTCATTCCCCTTAGACTTGGCTTATTTCAACATTTGTTTAAGAACAAAAGAAGTAACAAAAAAACCCCACCAAGACTGAAGTGCAAAAACAATTAAATGAAGATTTTCTTATGCTAACAGGATCTGCCAATTTCAGATGTGTTTATTAGGCACTATTTAATATAATCCAAACTATAAAGAAGTACTGAATTGTCAGTGTAGTATAATTACATAATTAAAAAAAAGAGCAAAGCCAAAAGAACAGCAGAACATTTCTATACTGTAGGTGTCACCTTGACACTTATCCACATCTTGTTTTTCTCCCCGCGGCAAGTACAATTTCTTTCACTCAGCAGCAAAAAGTGTGCAGGACTATCACCCCCTCTTACCATTTCATCTAAAAATCATAATACTAAATAAAAATTCATAACGCACAGATACCTTTATCCCACATACTCTATCTCTCTGTATTTCATACTATAAACATAATTTTAAAAACCCTGTGATGTACATCCTCACCTGTTTAACAGAAAGAACTTGTGAAGCAGGAAACTTCTTGCCTGGCTAGTTCCTCTGATCTTGTCCTCTTAATGAATTTGTCGTTACAAAAGTTTAGTTTCAAATAACAGACTAATCCTAGACATTTTACAAGGTGCAGACTACCAGTGGTATTTGAAATTTGGCTTTTCAGGCACTGTAAAATAGTACTAATTAGAGCCAAATAATATCCACCAGGTTACCATGTCTAGTTTTTTTCAAATAATCAGTTGGTGTTTTAGATTCGGACTATTTAAGTTTAAACTCAGATGCATTCAAGATAAAATGTTACTTGGTCCATTGAAAGAAGTATTTAAGCTAAAAGAAAATGAAATAAGAAACACTGCAATATGCAAAAAGAGATCCAATGCTCCTTCTCAGCATCCTCTGCAAAAAGCTGTTCTCCCTATGCTTCATTCACAAAAGAGATAGACAATTAACGGGGGAAAAATTTTTGCTCCCTAATCAGCCTCTTATTATTTCAACCTCTCCTCACAGGTCTTGGATGAAACATTATACTTTCAATACTATTTTCTCCTGGATTCTCCAATTCAGCAAGATAATTCTGATTTCTTGGCGTGCATTAAGTGCATGGTTCCAAACTGGACACAATGACCTAGCGGACTCCATTTCTACTCTAGGTGCAGAGAGATCTACATCAGTTTTACAGTGCTGAATGACAGCGCTTTCATTTATTCATCCTGGTGTGATGTTACATTCTTAGAACTACTTTTTGTGCACAATACTCTTGATTTAAGGTAGCTCTTAACCCTCAATTTCTTTCTTCAGAACTCTCAGCCATTCCTTATCCTGGACACCCCTGTTTTCTTTTTCTTTAATCTAAAATCAGGATTTTAAATTTGCCCTTAATAGCTTGAATCCCATTTTTCCCTGCTCATTCTAAGTTCTTGCTTCATGTTAAATTCTCCTCCAACCTTCCAACATCTCTGCAGTGTCTCAGCCTGGTATCATTTTTCACTGCAGTAAACATGTGTGTCAATGGGTCCATTAGCATTCTCTTTTCTTGAAAAGGAAAACATAAAAGACTGTTTTTTGTGCCTCTGCATCAGAAATGACATATCTAGAACACACTTTTAATAAAGAATATAGTTCAGACAGGCAGAGGAACAGGAGCAATCTTTCAAAGAAGAATCCAAGCTAGATGCCTACCAGGATAGAAGAGCACACTGAAGACAAATGTTAGAACAAGAAACAGACTTTGCTGATCCTCAGGCAAGAGGGAAGGTAGTAAGGATGATCAGAGATACTCCAGAACCACAGAGGGACAGTTTTAATAAAATGGCAGGGCTAAATCAGCAACATACCCGCCTGAAAAGGTATTTTCCATCAGGAATCATACACTGATCTATTTAGATATGTAGAAACAGAGAATATGTATCTGAGATTTTAGGTGCCCTTACAATAAATAAAACTCAAGATATACAGGCCTTTTCCAAAGATCAGTTTATCTTGAAAAGCCTATCGCAGATTAATCTAACTTACAGAATATCCAAGAAAGGATAAGAAAGTGTTATAGAATGCAATAAAAAATGTTGATTTTATCTTTATTTCTCAAAAAACTACAGAACAGCAGTTCATAGATGGAATGGATTAGACTAAGTGTGAAATATGATTTGGGGAAAAAAAAAGAAAGGCTACCATGGAAACATTTTTCTATCTGAAAAGCATCAGGAAAAAATATCAAATAAGTATATGGATGATAATACAGTTTCCCCAAGCCATACTGTGACAGCAGAACATAATTCCAAATGCAGCTTATTACAAAATCTGTCTGGAAGCAGGAATCCAACACGATCCATGGACCGGATAACCAAGTATGCAATCCAAGTAGGGGAAGGTACCACCTCACTGCAGTGCTCAGTTACTTGTCTCAACCCACCAGCACTCCCTAGATCTTACCTACACACTGAGCCCAAATCAGCTTTCCTCCACTGCTCAACCTCCCTCAGTAGTTGAGCAATGCATATACCAAACCACTGGCTTAACTATAGCTCCAGGCACTGCAGTTTATAGACCTGCTCAAATCCTTTTAATTACCCTCCCACACAAACTAAACAGAAAAGGCAAGAAGAGGTTTCATGCAGTTCTCAAGCACTGTGCCTCTTTCTTGCTAAAGAAAGGAACACATCTCTGCTAAAGACAGTCAAACCATCACCACAGCTTCCAGACAAAGCAAGTTAGTGTGAACACAGAACAACAGGAAGTACAAAAGTAATCCATATGCATGCATGCATGCCTGCAAGCAGGCTCCCACAAGGAAATAGATTTTAATTTACAAAGCTTCAAATCAAGATACAAATTGTTCTATTACATAACATCATGTACAAGGGACCAGCCAATTCTGACTACAAGTGAGGTTTTGAGAAGTCATGAAAGTTCTCCTACCTTTCATTTATTTTCAGAGCCTGGAGAACACAGGTACTACACATGGGGCTGCAGAGTTGGAAGGTGAGGTGGGGGAAAGACTGTACAGATTTCCTAATTCCCTGCTAGGATTTTTTTTCCATCTGAATCATTGTTTCTACTCCATATCAATAAACCATTCTGCAATGGCTAGGAGGGATCTGACAAGATCAGCCACTTCTAGTCTGAAACATCCACAGAAGCCTGTTTTTCTCCAAAGTCAAACCATGTATTCCCAGCCTAACAACTCCAAGAGAGCGTTACCACACACTGCTGGGCAAATCCATGGACTGGCAGCTGCCTGAAGGGACAGATTATGCTCCTACATGGCCACACTTTGCTCCTGCCTGCAGAGTCTCTCTGCCTCTTCTGCACCATTTGGACACTTCTTTGAACAGTCATCTGAGCTGATCCACCCAAATGCCAAGAAACAAAACTGTTCCTGAGATAAATCAGGTAACTCGTTTCAGTAGGAGTCACACAGAGAAGAAAGGTGGGTTCAGGAAATGGAAACAAGTCCTCTCACCAACAGGAAGCAGTCACAACAGCCAACCCTGGACACTACCTGGACACTTGGAAAGTTATCACCATATTCTTTGTCCTGGCCTGGTCAGAAGGTCTCTAGAATATTATTTGAAATCCCACTTTTTTCCTTTTTTTTTTTTAAACTCCTACAATACCACAATACTTCTAAAGTTATAAGTGCACAAAATAAATCAAAATAATTGAGAGCACTTTAGATGTCACCAGCTTGCCAAGCACTAGTGAAGTTGAGTGAACTGTAAAAGCATCAAATCTGCAACAAATTTGCTGGAACTCTTAGTCTGATTTGTTCAATTACAGAAATTCAAGAAATTTTCACAACTTTCTTATCATAGTTAAGAATACTGATCATAACAGTCTTTTCTACAATTACATCAAAGAAAGAATTATGTCATAATATTCTTGGTTTCCAAGTTCACACCTGGATTCGTGTTTCAGTGTAGGTCAATTCATTCTTTAAACATTCTTCTTAAAATGAAGAGTTACCTTTCTGCTAACTTATATTTCAATAAAAATAATGTATCCTCAAACATGACTATTATGATACTTGCCCAGACCTTCAAAACCATAAGAATCTGAAGTACTGGATCTGGGATATCCCAGAGCACACAATATTTTCTACCCACAACAGCTTAGTTGCTTATAACTCTTGCAAAACTTCATGGAGTAGGGCCTGTGCCCAGCCTCTGTAGAAGACCAGCTTACCTCTGAGAAACACATGTAATATCTGCAATACAGATGGAAAGCACCCTGAAATACTGCCAGAGAAATACAGGATTTAGTATGTAAGACAGAGGGTACATAATGAACCTACCAAAGAATTTATCTTTTTAGAGATGAGAGGCAAAGAGGAGAAGGGAGAGATATACGTGTACGGAGAAACAAAAGGTGAAACAGGTATCTGATTGACCCATTCTGTCAGTGATCACTGAAAAGTGAAGAACCTGATCACTCTTTTGCAGTTTCCTCTTCTCAGGTGACAAACGCTTATCGACAGAGCAGTTTTCAATTGTGAAGGCAACATCACAAAGAATGAAAAGTACTTACTTACAAGCAATAATTATTGTTCAAATTAATACTTTCAGGGATTCTTCTTCCTCACTTTCATTTTGAAGCATAGGCAAGACTCTGAAAGTAGAAGAGGAAAAGTTCATTAGTTTTTATCACAGAATCATTTAGGTTAGAAAAGACCTTGAATATCATCAAGTCCAGCCATAAATCTACCACTACACCATGTCCTTAAGAGCCACATCTACATATCTTTTAAACTCACCCAGGGATGGAGGCTCAACAACTTCCCTGGGCAGCCTGTTCCAGTGCTTGACAACTCTTTCAGTGAAGAAAAAACTATTTTAAACAAAATCTTACTTTGGGGTTATCAAGGCATGGAGTTAGCACATCATTTCCTAACAGCTGTCTCACTAATTCAGGATGGCAGCACACTACTGAGCTAAACATTGACTCCTGGCCATTTAACAGAAAAGCAATCAAAAGCTGCACTATCAGACTCTGAAACAGCAAGAAACTGGTTGTTGAAAAAGCTTATTTGTGAACCTGACTTCAAGGAAAGGAATGAAAGAAAGAAAAAAAAAATAAACAGGAAACCAATTAAAGCAACAATAGTACCAGGAACAGGAACAAAGACAAAAAAATTAAAAATGCTTCAGATAACTGACTTTTACTGCAATTAGAATTCTGGAAAATTACTCTTATTTTTGAATGAAAATTAAGTGATTTTCTATTTCAAAGAGAAGCTTCAGCAGCTGTACTGTTAAAGGTGAACTGGCAACTCTAAAGCTCTCAAAAGCAGCAACAGTGATAAAAAACAAATCTGAATTCTGTGTTTTCCTATTCATGTAATAAATTATTTAAAGTAATCAGCACCTACAAAGTCAGAGCCCATGAACTTCCAAAAATGGAAAGCCTGAGGGAAACAGAGATAGCCTATTTTCACTTCTATTTGAGCTTGATAGTCTGGGTATACCTGGCTAAGGCACTCAATGAAAAGGTTATAGCTTTTGATGTGATAAAGTATCTCAGAAACCAAAAAATACAACCCAGCTGTTCCATGTATAAAAAGCAAAATCAGAAAAAATAAACTCATTCTTTTATTGTAGCACTCATCAAATCAGCTACACTGCCTGCTTCACAAAAATTGAGAGGTGAAACTTTCAGCTGAAGGTGACTTAAGAAGCCAAGCAGAACAAAATTCAGAGTCCACATGCTGCAAGAGGCAGCCCTACACGGAACACAGTAGAGCATGGTCTAGAACGATGCTTATTCTTACTTCTGTATGAAGCATTATGATGTATTTTCTTACAGGTTCATATTTCCAACTTCATTAACAAGTAGAAGGTAGTACATTATGTGAGCCATACATATGGAAAAACAGATTTAGACAGATTGGCTCATGTTAAACATGAAGTGGAAACATTTACATTTCATATAACAAAAAGAACTATTATTACATTTACAAGTTGATTTATTTGTAAGCAGCAGAATTACAAGCAGTACCAAAGGCCTTCCTACCAGACTGGGCAAATCCCCATGCCCTACATTACTAACAGGACAGAAATAAAGCTCTTTGGGTTTTTTTCCCACAATTCCAAAAAAGGAATGCAGCCACTTTACATAAATTGTGATTATCTTAAAACAGCCTGTCTACTCTGAAACATTCAAAACTTCCAAAAAGTTTACAATTTTACAGCCCAGTATTGCTAATAAATCCCTGAGATTTGAATTCTATTCATAATGTAAAAATTTAAAGTATTTTAAAAAATCTTCGTATTTCTGTTTCAATCACCTCAAGAGTATTTACAAACATCTCTAATTAGACAGTTGTTCCTTCCAGATAAATTTGCTCTCTTATACAGATCTTTTTGGATATAAAGGACATGAAGTGAACTTATAGATAGAAAATTTTAGTTATATGCCCATTTCTGACTTTGAATTACTGGGTTTAAAAAGACTAGTCATTACTTTTTTTCTCTTTTTTTAAAATTCATCTATTTATAAAAAAATTATATACATCCTTATCAAGGATTCAATAACATCTGCAGTGTTCAATCCAGTCTCCTGCATTGCAACCAAAACCAAGCCCAAGACATTTCATCAACACTTTTCATGTAATTAAAGTTGTATTTCGAAAAGACACAAAATTTGAAAGCACAAGAGCAAGGTAGTAGAGTTCAAGGATGCCACGCTTTAGTGACTATAACTACAGAAGTGTAACATGAAAATACCTATATCACCTTAGGAATACAGAAATTGCAGCAAGGAGAAAGAAAAAAAAGAAACACTTTTCCAATCCTTTCTCCATTTGACTGGGGCAAACTGATATTTAATTCTGAACACAGACACTAGACCCATATGCCAGGCCAGGACTACTTTCCCAATACCACAGGACAAATCAGACACATCACTCAAAATCCCACCTCTAGAGAATGCAAATTGTCCTGCTTCAGAAGAAGATAAACTATACACTAAGAATAGAAAAAATAAAAACAATAAAAATTCCCTTTGGATATAGACAGGATACCAGTGGAAGATCTGAGGAACAGAATTTGAACTAAAAACTGAAAACTTTATGACAAATAACAATCATATACTTCCTTATCTGCTCTACCCTCCGAGAACAGGATCAACCTCATCATCTTACACAGTATTCTTAGATAAATATCTAAAAGATCATATTGAGCCACTGAGTTTCTTTCTCCCCATTTCTGGGACTAGACCTCATCCTCTGATTTTCAAACAAGATTTGCTTGTAAATTTATGCCTCAGATATATTTATTTTCAGATGTTTCTCTCCCATATATGCCCTCACACCCAATAAAGACTATTGTTATTTCTTCCCAGTCCTCCTTGCCAAATGCTTTCTTTCTCCTTGAAGAAGGCAAGTTCAGCCTAACTAGCTCTTATGCACATGACTTGCTCTTTTCTGAGTGTGACTGTGATCAGAGCTAATGCCGATCTAAATGTAAATCAACAAATGCTTTATTGGCTGGTCCTAACAATCTTCTTTTTAAAGCTAGAAAGCAACTGGTGTGGTTTAGAAACGTGTTACTCTCACCAAGCCACATCATCTGAGAAAGAAGCAGATCAGGAGCTGGGTCATGCAACAGCAATCTGCCTCTGGTGACCAGTCTGGGTCCACCAAGAGCTCTCACCAGTGCGCAAGTAAGTGAAGTTCCAACCTATTTTTTATTTGTTCAACATTTTCTATTACTCCAAACACATAAATCTACTCCTAAGCAAGATAATCCCACCTTCTCTAGTACAAGCAATTTCTGAAGCACACAGACCAGCTTTTACTAAAGTCACCCATATTTTCCACTGCCAGCTCTACAGTTTCAAGTTTCAAGAGAAGGGACTGAACCTATGGTAGGGAGAACATTGCATGAAAAGAATCTATTTTAAACAATTTAAAACATTTAAACACAACAAAACCACTTCCAACAAACAAGCAAAATCAGCAAATTGGTAAAGAAAAAGAAATGGAAAATTATTCCTTCTATAAGCCCAAGTGAGGCTCAGAACATGATTTTTCCAGTTTTAAGAGATAATGTATGTTTCTAATGAAGAAGTGAGTATTTAACTGAAAAACTGAATTTCATTTCTCCTATACCTATCAATCCATCTGCCTGGCAGCACTGCTAATTGCTGGCACTAAGCAAATTTCCTTAAACAAATATGGAAAGAAAAACATCCCATGGAGACAGAAGGACAGCTATTGTTTTTAATGTATATATTAAAAAAATCATATAGGGTTTTCTATATACATTACATAATGGTTTGGGGTTTGGTTTTGTTGCTTTTTTTTCCTTCAGATTCCTTGCTAAGAGCAAAAAAAGCTGGCATATGCAAGGTACAAAGTCAAATCATCAAACTTCTACTGCCAGAGAAGCAGCTCCCAGGAATCATCTGTTTTGCAGGGAAGTGCACAGAATTCTTTCTGCAGCTCAATTTGGTATAGGAGGTTCCCCTTCAAACAAGCTTTGATTTCCAATGGTTTGAGAAGGACATAGAAGTCAGTCAATGAAATTCCACTTTCAATCAAGCTAGATCTGGGAGCATTATTCCTCAATATTCATCAAAATGAGCATAAAATACAATGATGTGCCCACACTTGGTTTTTTTTTGTAACACAGTACTTTGCCACTTTGACCTTGTTCTAAGAGTACAACATTTTTAACAGCATAAATAACAATTGAGAACAAAACGTAGTATCATTAAGTGCTTATCCTTTAGAGAAGAAAATATAAAATAGCTGCTTTAAGGTACAAAGGTTCTTCATACTATTGAAATTTTGACACATAATGGTTTCTCAAGGAACAAACTCAGAGCACTCTACAAAACTGATGCAGTACACAAAACAGTGCACAATCCCCTGACTTCTTTCATGGACATGTTAAAGGGCCAAATGAAGAATTAAGTTACAAAATAACATCTCAAATATAAACACACTTTTAACCTATCCACTTGCCAGGAGACAGGGGACTCAGAAGGTAATAAACCTATTATTGCACAGTTCTCAAGTTCTTTCCTGCTCCTCTCCTTCAAGACACAATGGCCCAACCACTTGACTCATTTCTCCTTTTTGTTTACATGGCCCTAGCTGACACATCCCATTACACCTGGAAGACACATCACTGTTGCTCAGTGTTTGCAGGCCTACATTTATCACTTTACAGAATTTCCTGCATGCTAGAGTAGCATTGCTTATGCATTACACTATTGCACATGTGATGCAAATTTGGGGAAAATTTGGAAAAACATATCAAGCACTGGACCTCTTTTAGTTCTCTCAAATCCAGGAAAACATATGCTTCTTTTCCCCAGAGTTCCACTTTTTCTCAGCCATGTGAAGTGCCATCTGTGCTTCCCAGCCTGGCAGGCTAAAACTCTGCTGTCATTCAAATCACCAGTGAGCAAATTAAAGGCAAAGACTGTCCTCTTTAATAAAACAACAAGTCTTACAAATGGCAACCTAGATCACAGCAACAATGGAATGAGTGGCAAGCGTGGGTAGCTAAAGGGTCACAAGGAGGAGAAGGTGGCAAACAGTAGAATATCTCCAGAGCTTCTTTGTAAACTTCTGCCTCTAGCAAGCTAACACGAGAACTATG